TGTAGTGGTAGTATTATTGGTAGTAATAGTAGTAGCAGTAGCAGTTGTAGTGGTAGTATTATTGGTAGTAATAGTAGTAGTAGTAGTGGTAGTATTAGTGGTAGTAATAGTAGTAGTAGTAGTGGTAGTTTTCCATCTGCACAGGAAAAGTGAAATCAAGTTTCTCCTTTAAAAAGAAAAGTCTGGCCCAAACCCTGGATGAATTAGAAGGACGTGACGCTGACAGACATGAAGAAAGAAAGAAATGATGCCACTCCAGGGCAGGAAACGAACCTCGAATATACCGCTCACCTTCTGGAGGCTGCGGCTGTAGCTGCTGCTCCATGAGTTTTTGGCGCCGCGCCTCCACCACCGGGTTCTCATACTGGGTTTTTCTGTTTATATGACTGAGACAGAACAAAGATAAACAGAGAACACAAGGTCATAAAAACAACATTTATCGAAGCTCTATAAATGCTTCTCTTTTTCATTTTGTATTGAAGGTTTGGTGAGGCTGAGAACAGGTCAGTGCATCAATAAGGTGGTTAACTCACTCTACATAGTACACTCCGTACACGGGGTCATCTATTCTCTCCCAACCTGGGGGCAGCTCTGGAATAAAAAGAGCACAGAGCATTAAACACAAACAGTCTGGCCTCAGTCAGCAGAAGGAAATGAAACAATGTGTCATGGATGCAGTTGTTCATTTTGTTTATTGTGTCATGATTTTATGTACGTTATTTATCTACCTTGAGATCTCTACAATTCCTCCAAAAAACACATTTCCTTTGAAATCTTCTTAAACACATTAACTTTAACTTTAGCTACTTTTGTACTTTAAGCTTTTACCTAGCCCTTTGCTACTTTTAGCTTTTAGTTAATGTTTCGCGATTATTGGCTTTTAGCTTATGTTCTGCCTTTTTTAGTCTTAGAAACTTATTTCAGCTAAGTAATTGAAAGCTCAGAATTACAATGCATTTGTGCAGAAAATGCATTTTCTGTAGTTTCTATTTCATTTCTCCACTTTTACATTTTAAACAGTTTCCAGCATGGCATGTTGTCTTGTTGCTGATTTTATAGGATTTCTCTAAAGTGTGTGCTGAATAACCTCCTTTTCTTCTGCAAAACACAAACATGTATTTATTTTACTTCAAAAACAACACATTTTGTATTATTCCCAGGATTATAGCTGATGTCTGCTGTTTGTTAACATTAGTACAATAACAACCAGTGGAATCTGTGGAGTCTAATTTACACAAAAGACAATGTTCCTGCCAGCAACACAAATTAGCCTTTAAGTATATTATTAAACAACTGCACTCGTAAAATAAATTTAAATTATGAGTTGGATCCATCCCTACTGTTTATGGTTGCTGTTGTTTCATTCATTGTGACCAATAAAAGAGGGAGATGAAAACAAGGATACATTTCAAACAAAGTTACATTGTGATTGTAGTCAGAACATTTTAAAAATAAAGACTCAGCATTCCTTAAATCACCTGCCTCTTTAATGCCAAAGTTTTAAACTGAAGTCATCTTGTGTTGAGTTGTAAATGTTTGGTCAAACTCTTAAATCTTTCGTTGTGGTTTAAGAGCTATTTTTCTGAAAAGACAAAGGATTTACTCCAACAATCATTGCTAAAGTTTTAAGCAGAACAATTAGAACCTGGCGTTTGTGTTGTAAATGACTCAACCACAACTGAATCAAATTTTAACACATTGTCTGTAAAATTTATTGATTTAAAGCTACTTTTTTTTCTTTTTAAGGTCAGCTAGCATTAGTGTCCGTCTTGATATTGGTTAGCTCCAAAGTGGCTGTAATTCATGAGATATTTTCTAATCATAATGGCAACATTTTAAACAAAGATCTATTTGCGTTTTTTTTTTTTCCCCCGTTGGGCAATTTAAACATACCTAGGTCACTTTCCAGGTCTTCTGTATGGATCCCTTCTTCTCCAGTTTTGAAAGCAGAATGAAACAAAGTAAACAAAGTAAATAATGAAAAAAGGGCATCAATGAGGAATACAGCCAAAACCAAACAGATAAGTAGAACAAACACCATACAAAAGCATCTAAAAGCAATTTAAGAAAAACAGAGGAATGAAGTGTTGCTTTCAGTTTCACCACTTGATGGTGCAATTTTGCCACTTTAAAAAAAAAGAACAAGAAGCGTCAGAATTTGTCAAATGTTTTATGTTTATCGGGAAGCAATGTGTCATGTTAAATGACAACAGTTTTTTTTTACAACACAACAAATTTAAAACACGTTTGAATTGATAAAATTTAACAACAGAAACTAAATCAAAGCAATCAAACTCTACTAGAAATCAAACCGGCATTACTGAGTGCACGGGACACTCAAGCTTTAGAACTCCTGCTGCTTCCAAAACCACTACACAGGACTGTAAATGTACGCTTTCATGTCGTTAATGATGTCTTAGAGGCTTACCATCATCATCACACTCTTCCAAAGGCCTGGAGGCTTTGTCTCTACACCGCGGATCCAGCCATGATGTGGTCTTTGTGTTGTGGCTGAGAGGAAACAAACAAGACAACAGAATAATTCAGCACAGGCTGTCAAAGTGGCGAATCGAAGCACAGCAGAGGGACCTGAACGCATCAGTAAGCATTAAACGTAAAGCGTGCCAGCGAGTTTTTAACGGACCGTCTGCTGGAAACAAATGAAAAAGTCATAATATTAAATGAAATACTGAGTGACACAGCCAAGGTAACACTAAGCAACTGGACTTTTTTTTTCTTGTATTGATAAACAAGAAAAAAACAACAACATGCTGTTATTCAGTGAAATGAACGTACACACTCTGAAAATGCACTGCCATGTCCTGGTGGTGAGGCTTCGCAGTGCTGCAAAGAGGACAGAGAGGTGGAGGGTAATCAGGTGATCAGGACGTGATCTCCTTTTGAGATCGGGACATGCAGGGATTAACAGGAGAGCAGTTGCAGTCAGCGGGGCTGGGAAGGCCTAAAAACCAAATTACTGTGGAAAACAAGCTACTGAACAAACACAGAAAAAAAAAAACGCAAAGGCCGTGTTTGCCAAATAGAGCTGGCTTTTCTCGCTGCAGATACGTACTCTATGAAGTACAGCTCCCCGTTCTCAGTGTAGGCCATCTCCCAGTTCTCAGGCAACGGGCCCAGTGGGTCATCTGGAGAGACCTGCGGTTCTGCATGTGTCTGCTGCCCGCTTTCAACAGTGGAGGTGGCCGCATTGTTCAGACCACAGGCCAGAGCATTATCTCGCGTGGGATATGGCCGAAGGATGCCGCTGCGGCTCTCGTCCTGGTCGTTAGGGTTACCTGTGCACAACAAAGGAGAGGGGAAGAGGCTACGCACTAAGGATCCTGGGTAACACAACAAGAACAACACACAAAAACAAACAAACAAAAGAAGTTTATGTCTAAGGCATGCAAGATGGAAGATAAAAGTTCATGCAACTTTACTCACTCGGGATTCTGAATATACCTCCTGCACTCTGAGACCATATGTCCACACAAAAACTTTTTTTTTCTTTTCTTAAACCATATTTTTCTGTAGTTGTTTTGAATGTTTTGTCAAAAACACAGAACCGCAAAATTTACAAATGTTCCCATTCAAACAAAGTATTGCAGTAACTATAACAAGCCTGTATGTGGCGCTAAAATGCTGCCCTGAAAATTCACCAGAAACAGGAAACAACACATGAGCAATTTGCATAAAGCTTACACATTAAATAGATTGTATGTATACAGTATCTCACAAAGCTGAGTACACATTTAGCTATGTATTTTATTATATTTTATAATGGGACAACACTGAAGATATGACATTTTGTTACAATCTAATGTAGTCAGTGTACAGTTGTATAACACTGTAAACTTGCTGTTTCTTTTAAAATAACTCAACAAACAGCCATTATTGTGTAAAACTCCGACAACAAAAGTGATCAGTGTACTCACTTTTGTGTTGAGGTATATAAAGTACTTAAAAACAATAACTAAGTAAAAAATAAAACTCCTTTAACAGAAAAAGACTGGCAAAAATATTTCACTGATAAGAAAAATACTTAAGTTATAAAACCGCTGACAATAAAAGAAAATAAAAATAAACATACTTTTACACACACTTTAAGAAGTGAAGTGTTGAGCAAACAGCAATTTACACATTTTTTGTCTGACAGTTTTGTCTGCTCATCAAAGTAAAATAATATACAAAGGTTTTTCTGTAGTACATTATCTAGTGTCTACAGCACAAATGCAAGCATCGGCCTGTATTAATGCTGATAGACACATCAAGTTTTACAGATTGTCCATAAAGTACACAGAATTTCCCCCGTTCTCATACTTCAAATTTATTTTATGTCTCAAAGCCTGTAGGATGTAAACTAAAGTTAACAACCACCTCCTGACCTGCTCTACAGCATTGTGTTGTGGCACAAAATAAATGTTTGTTTGTATGTTTTTGTTGAGACTCTCACTGCATCCCTGACTGTTCTTTTCAGCGAGGAGGAAGAGGTGGGAGGTGACGTGCCACACCGGCAACGGTACGCCTGCTTATCATGTGAGAGTACTACGAATTCTGTTTGAAAACGACAGATTTTCGATGGTGAGCCTACAGGTAAACCACTGAAAGGGTTGATGCGTATGTTGGTACATCTGTCAAGCTGGTTGTAGATTAGGTTAGAGTTGAGACTATTTTGTTTTTTGGCTCTCCACACAAAAATGCAAGGGTGGCATTTTATCGAATTTCCTTTCGATCTGGAACCAAGTTTCAAAAATAGCTTTCATGGGCTCCTAAAAAGTCGTTCTCATGTAGATGAAAGGGTCATGGACAAATGTTTACATATTCACAAAAATCATTCCGGTGTGGATGGCGCCTGAGGAAAATGCCCTACTTCCATCAGTTTTTTCTTGATTGGATTTGACCTCTCACTCCACCTGCAAGTACCTCAAAGTGATACTTGAGTAAAAGTACAAGTATCTTACCATGAAAGTACTTTGGTAAAAGTTAAAGTCTTTAAAAATATTACTTGAGTAAAAGTCTTAAAGTATCTGATATTTTTTGTACTTAAGTATCAAAAGTAAGTTTCTGACAAAATCTACTTCGTATTAAAAGTAAAAGTACTGAGTAAAAGTGAGTAGTTAGATTTTCCAAAATGACATTTATTGGGAGGTGACTTCTCCAAAAAATATTTTTTCTAACGGCGTGCAGCTGTGATGGGTTGTGTACAAGCTAATACTTTTCATCCAACCACAATTAAATTCACTCTATCCAGGAGACACAATTTATCAGGATAGTATTTTTTTAAAGTAAAAAAAACACGGAATAAAATGGGAGTAACGACTTTCTACTTCCTACCTTTTCAAAAAATGTAGTGAGTTGAAAGTACAGGTAATTGTGTAAAAATGTAATGAGTAAAAGTAAAAAGTACACTGAAAAATAATTACAGTACAGATAACCAAAATTTCTACTTACAAAGTATTTGTACTTAGTTACTTTACAACTCTGCACCTGCCTTACCAATCCAGCTATAAGCATCATTTTCATTAAGCCAACCATAGTTTCCAACCCTGTTTGCTGCCCCACTTTTGTGAGCTTTTCAAGATTGTTTAAGCGCAAATTCAACATATTGGCAGCCTAGCAGGGGGACTTTGAAATTGTAAATCTTCAAAGCATCAAAGAAGAACAAAAAAAGAGATCTCCTTCCAAACAAACAAACAAAAAAAATAATGCATAGCAGGAAAAAATGTTTTAGAACTTAAGGGCAACATCACATAACCTGGTTTGTGGATTTCAACCTGAAAATAGTGAAAAGCTTTGAATATCTCCTGATGAAGCAGGTACACTCATGATCTTCACACATAGGGAGAATTTAATGGAATAAAAAAAAAGAACGATGCAGGAAAACAATATGCGAGTGTTTTTGGAACACAACCCTCCTCACAGGCAGATGGCAGTGTTAACAGGCTCCCAGGAAAAGAACCTGCATTGCAAAGGCATGATGTAACTGCCAGACACCCATTACCTTACAGAGGAGGGAGATCATAAACACACACTCTATCTCTCTCCTGATCTTGCTCTGAACATGCGTACAAAACACACTCCACAGTGAAAGAAAAAAAAAAAACAGGAAACTTAGCACAGATGGAGAACACTACACATGCAGAGATGAAACAAAAGCTGAAGAATGGGAAACTTCAACAAAGTGAGAGGGCCTGGGAAAGGAGCGGTGACGCCCTCACCTGTAAAACTGTTGTTCATTTCCGTGGCCTGGTCGTCATCGTCGTCGTCAGCAGGCACTACGCGCACGTTTTGCATGTCATTGTAGGACTTGGTGCGCTTTGGGGTGGACTGATGGGAGCCCGAATCACTGAGAGTCACTGTCCCAACGATGGGCTGCTTCGGCGGTTTTGGGGTCCCATAATAGTTACCTAGGCAACAAGAAGGACATTAGCATGCTCGAGAGAGTGAGAGAGAGAGACACAGTAGGAAGAGAGGAGGAGATGAAGGGAAGGAGCCAGGGATAAAAAGCACAGGCAGTGCAGGGGGACAAAGCAGCGGCCAGAGGATCTACACAGACTCTTACGCTGAGAGTGAAAAAGCTGGATTGTGGCATGACTACAAATTGTGTGGGAAAAAAAAACATACAAAAAATCTTGTTTGTGTTTGAAGCAGTTTTATCCAAACTCTGAAAGCGTCTCAAAACATTCAGTTTGTTCTAGCCAAAACTATTATTAGTTAGCAGGGCTGTCATCATAAGCCAGCAGTTTTTCCTTTGATTTTGTCCCAATTATGCATCCATGTCTTGGTTTCTATAGTGGCCTAGAGGCCTAATTCCACTTTCCACCAGTTTGAAGTCAAAGATTTGACCATTTTTAATTATGCTCAATCACTAGCACAACAATAGTTTAAAGGGGCAATATCATGTAAAATCAACTTTTTTTAGTTTTATATCATGTTATAATGTTATACTCTCATAAAAAAAACATGCCCGAAGCCTTGCTTTGACTCATTCATGCATGTTTGAGAAATCCTGCAGCATTTTTAGGAAGCCATGCTGAGGAGCAAAACGACAGGTGGGGACCAGAAAACAACTTTGGGGACCAGAAACACCTCTGGGTTGTGTCCCTTTGGGACAATCTCCTCCTCTGGGATGTCTTTAAGCCGAGCTCCCTCATGGCAGAGCCACCCCCCCACCCCACCCACACAGACACACACACCCTGCCCATGACTCCTGCAGGCTCTCGGCAGTAACAAAGCAAACAACGGGTGAAACTGAAAGTGAAACTGAAACTCTGCTGAGCTCTCAACATTAGTTCTCACTCAGTGAAGTTCTTTTCATATTCAAAATACCTCACTGCATCATAGCTCCCCCACCCTCCCTGCACCGAAATGGGCAGGACAGGAGCAGAAGGTGGTTCTTAAAGAGACAGAGGTCAATTTCAAGGTGTTTAGAAGTGGAAGTGATGAGAAGATAAGTTTATTTTCTATTTAAACATAAAAACAGCATTTTATTAACAATAAAGGTGACATATATTCTTTATAATGGTATAGTATTTAAATGTATGCCTGAGAAATACATAATATTGCCCCTTTAATTAAAAGATTAAAATCATCACTGCAATAAACTGATCTATTTATTCTTAAATCAATAACCAATCAAAATTATCACGGAAAACAAATAGGCCAGCACTTTATGAAAACATTTACACAAATGAATCATCTATAAGACTTTAGGTATAATTGTGAGTTCACAATTTACATTTTAAAATTGAACCATACTAAAAGACAGCTGGCACATGGAAAATGTGGTAACCTGAAGCCCTTTATTTAAACATGAACAGGTCAGTGCAGGTTAACAGCTTAAACTGGTCATCCTTTTTTTACTTGGGACCATGCAGGGGTCGAATGTTATGATTGGTTGGAGGTTTCTACATGATATGTGATTGGATGCATTACATATTTTTGTTTCCCTATTCCTGGATAGCTGGTGATAAGAAAGAAATGGTTTTAAAGAGCTAATGGGGAGCTTAAAAGAAAATCTCACAAGATCAGATATTAGACTGCGTTATTTAATGTCCCTCGTGGATAATCTTTATCATATATTTGGTGTTACATTCTGTGACCCAGAGGACAAGAACAAATTTGTAAGAGGATGAAACTTGGAAAGGTGGATGGATGTGAGGGAAAATTTATTCTGTTCGTACAGATTTTTAAACGCACTTCACATATACATGTTTTAATTGAGATAGCTAAACTTTTTTTTGATAATCAAATGCATAATTTTTATGTACTGTGACTAAATAGTAGTGTGCACTCTGTTTGAGTGACTCATGATGTGGGTCATGTCAAAACAGACTGCACTTATGAGGGACATGCGATAAAACACACCTTACCCCAAACAAACAGACAAACACAATATTTCCATCAGACTATAATTTTTATATTCAAGGATCAGGTCACAGACAGTGGGGGCTCTTCCTGTCTGATGTGGCGTCTCTGCTCCAGGGGGAGTGGCCAAGTTCTGTACATGCTTGATAAAACTTCTGTTGTTTTGTTTCCTGTACCAAAACTCGCTTCGTTTAGGTCTGTTTTGGTCCAGCTGAAGCTTGTGTAAGACTTTATACTCTGCAATTATCTAAAATCTGAATTTGTCTCCTGTTCATGCTTCAGCTGTTCAACTAGTAACAACAGGTTTTTTTACAGATGGATTACATTACTGTATCGCACAAGTTCCATTGGAAATAAATGGAGAAAGAGTGATGTCGCCTCCTGTGTGTCGAGCCCATTACGGATGCATTACTGTTATTTAAATGCATAAAACTGTTATCTGACAGTTGCTAAATTAAAATGCAGTGGTGGGCACAGTTCCCCTAAAGCAGTAAAGCACTAATAGGGGAACTAATTTCCTGATTAGTGCTTTAGGGCTTTTGCTCATTTTAAAATGTATTAGTGGATTAGCACTTGCTAAATTTATAGGCTAAATTTAGAAGCATTAATTGAAGTCTATAAATGTTATTGATCAATGTTAATGTTAACAGCTGAGGGTGAAAGATGTCACACATGTTGTATGTGTGTCACTTATCCACTAGGTGACAATACGTGAACCCAAATACAGCTGTGGAATGTCAATGATAAGTATTAAGAGAGCAAAATGGTAATATGTGACTCATGTTGTCTGTTGAAGAATGTTCATGGGTTGACTGGGTTATTTTAGTGCTTTAGAAATAGCTTTTGCTAAACGTTCAGTGCATTAGTGCTTTAGAATTAGGGGACTTAAATATCTGAGTTAGTGTTTTAGGGCTAGTGGAACTAATTTTTAGATTAGTGCTGCCCACCACTGTTAAAATGTAATGTTAATGTAAATGTTAAGTATACAGTCCAGTGCATATTTTTGTAGGGAACAGTGGCGCTGAGGTTAGAATAGACAAGCCTATGATTGGGAGGTCGCACTTTGAAGCATCTTAAATTCAAATTGAAAAGATGAGGCACCCACATCTGCCTCCATCTTTATGTGCCTCACTGTGGGCCCTTGAGCAAGACCCTTAACCCTCCAGCTACTCCTTGGTGCCTTAAATGGCAGTTCATTTAACAGACTAAACATCATTTATATTATTAATATTAAATGCTCAACATCTATAAACATAAACACACAAACACATTTACTCCATTCCTAACCAGCCCTGACTTCAAAATCTAACATGGCTGCTCCAAGGAATCAATCGCACGCATAGTACTGAACCACTTCTATTCCTTTGCAGTGTTTGAATACATAAAATGTACAGAAATACATTGTTACTACCTTGTATTGCTAATGCTTGCCAAATCACTGTCAGATAGACATTTCAACCACTGAGAGAAACAAAAAGCAGCAATAGTTCAAATCAGCTCATTGTTTTCACATTTCCTTGCTTGCAAAACTTGTGTGATTTATTTACACCCCCCGCCCCCCAATCAGCTGCAGTCCACAGGAGTCATGCAGGTCTGTCAGTGAGCCAAAATTGTGTCACTGCACTCCAGCTATGTAAACACCAGGCTCAATCTCCCAGTCAGATTAACAGCACAACAAAGTTTTAGAAGTACATGAAGGTTTCAAGATAGTACTTTGCAGGAAAACTTTTAAATTTTTTTTACATATTTTTATGATGCTTTACTTACAGAATGCATGAACTGTAGCACAAAAAATCATCATCTTATCTGGCCTAAAACTGCACTATAAACAACGACCCAAATAGTTTACTCATGTCATGATGCAAGCTTGATAAAGTAGCTTGAACTTTAGCATTGTGAAGCTAATGAGCTTCCAGACTGTCTAACAATGATCCAGGCATTAAAGATGTTTGGATAAACTTGTACTTTAGGAGTGATAGTTGGAGATATATCATTGACTGTCAATGAGGTTAAGGATATTAAATTCCAAAAATCAATCGTTTCTTTCACATGCCTACATCCAACAACCAGATTATTTTATCCCTGTTCTCCTTCCTGTTGTGTGGATGGCCACAGACCCCTGTGGACAGGTATTTGACATTGTCTGCATGAAAAGGAGCAACGTGCCAACACAGAGCAGAGCCAGTGCCAAGCAGATTAATGTCCTAACATTCGCTCTCAGTCCCATACACTCCCACACACAGACACACACAGATCAGACTTAGCACTACAGTACACACAGCCTAACAAACAATCACATACCCCCCCCCAAATCAAACACGTGTTTACACACACACACACACACACACACACACACACACACACACACAC